TCCTTCAATTGTTGAGTTTGACTAATACGGCCATCTAGTTGCAAAACATTCGAAAATCGCGCCTCATATTTACTGATTTAGTTTCATACAAGTGGCGCTGACCACTGTTATGTCATTGACATAAGTTTCATTGTCGATCCTTAAGAATAAAAATTACTATTTTAAAGTAATTGGAAAATATGGCTTCGATCTTGCAATACGCTGTTAGGCGCAGCATTATTCAGGGTGTCAGGACACAAGCAACTGTTGCTGGGCCCTCGGCCACTGCTGGCCACTCAGGTAATTTTGACTTTAAAATAAAAATGTTTCATTATATAACCTTTTGTAAAATACATATAATATGCAAAAGAGACTACTGTAGATAACAAGTAGTAAGTATAACACAATTGTTTCTTAAAATGAACATGAAAACTTGGCTGATAGACTAACCTTTATCGACTGAGAGTATGTTCAATAACTAGGCTATGAGGGCATTATCAAACATACTCGCTTGAGCATGCAGGGCTCATGTAATAGATTGATAAGACAACTATATCTTAATTATCGAAGAATGAAAACACAATTTTTGTTCTATATCTTAGTGGCTGCACCATAGACCTGGATCATACATGAACTGCTAGCCCTCATATGTGTCCCCTGTTGAAGTATTAAAACATGAAGTCGTTAATGTATATTAACGAAAGACAAATGTTATAAACTATGTCACTTTAGTATGCATAAAAATATGCTCACAAATATCATTATTATTTATTAGTTTGTGTATTATTTAAGAAGGACTTGAGTAATACAGTTAACATAAAAACAAATTGTACTTATCTCCTTGAACTCATTTGTTCTCCTTCAAATAAGAATTGATCCTTATAAATCTTGGCATCAATTTTATATAAATTGTGTATTTTCATATTCAGGTGGTGCTTCTTTGTGGAAGAAGCTTACCTTCTTAGTAGCTTTCCCAGCTGTCGGTTTGTGCATGTTAAATGCTTATTTGGGACATGTAGAAGATCACCACACTCCCAGACCTGAGTTCATTCCCTATGAACATTTGCGAAGACGCAACAAGGTAAGTGATTATGTTTCTAAGATATTATTAATGCTATTCCATTCAATTCTAATCATATTTTATTTAATTTGCAGCGATTCCCATGGGGTGATGGACAACGCACGTTCTTCCACAACCCGCATGTCAATGCTTTGCCTAATGGTTATGAAGTAGAAGAAGAACATCATTAAAGCTCTTGCTTCAGCAGTTTTAGATGAAATAGTTTTATGTGAAAGAGTGTAATATCTTGCTCTATATGATTTAAATTGTAAGTTACAAATAAAATAAAATGAAATAAAATAAATTTTACTGAATATTGGACTTGATCAATGATCTTTAAAATTACCATAATTGTTAGTTAATACTTTCCTATGAAGTGTGTCTATTATAAGAATGGAAATGTGTATAAATGTTAAAAGTACATTCTTTGCCTACTAAGGTGTGAAAACCCCATTAGTTTTTGAGAAATCAGATTTGATTGGAACAAAATTCAATCAATTTTGTAAAATTTATGTGGATTTTTTGATTTTCACTTATATATCAGATTTTAATTAGCTTAGCTGTTCCTTCTTTGGAATGTTTGGTAGGTCCAGACAGGCATATATGTACATACATTATTTCCTGCGTGTTCTACGTGTAAGCAAGACATTAGTAAAGCAAGTATGCTTTATATATTTTTACAGCTTACAGATTATATATTTCACAGCTATGTTGAATGAGGCACATTTTAATATCACGCTGATGCATTGAGCCCTGATCAAATTCCAAAATATTAAGTAAAACTATTCAGCCGGATTATAGAACCAAAGCATGATTGTGTCATGACAGTTTCGTTATAATGCATTTCGGCATTATAATAAACTAAGTGATCTTTACCTAATTATAGAATTATATAGTGATTTCAAAAATTTAGCATAAAGTATAGAGCACCAAAGTAATTGCAAAAATCAAAAGTTATATTTTGATGATGCCTCGACATATGCATGTATAATCATAAGTTTTTCAATTTTTACTCAACATGTTATTGAGCTATTTTTCTATCTCAAACTTAGCATTGAGCATCAAGCATTCTAGGAAACAACAGGGCAAAAAGTATAGATTTTTTCTGAAACCTGGATGGTCTATGAGAAAAAATGAAATAAATCTTTGAAATGCACAGAAAATAGTCTTTCTTCACCATAACTTTTCTCTTATATATTATTATTATGAAAATAATAATGCATAGAATAATTTCAAAATTTTTCTATACAGAAGATGATTATGTACCTGGGTTATGCACTAATTAAATGATTACTAGAAAAATGAAAATATGAATATGTGGATAATGATTTTTTTTTTCATCTCATCAATTATCTCTCTATAAGAAAATATATTATTTAATTACATATTTGGTATTTAACTAATATGTATATTTTCAGTGTTTGGCCGAATATCATAAAAGCTGCCTAATCGGCTCTATACTGAATAATTCTTGCTATTAATCTTAATTAACTATTAATAAATATCCTTTCAAACATATAGTTAAGAAATAATTATTCATAACACAGTAGATTGTATCCAAAGTAAAAAAATATAGTAAATCAAAGTATATATAGATATATATAGTTTATAACAACAACATTCCTAGATATTCATCTATTTCATCTTCTCGAGACTTTTCCTCTACAACCTGGGCTTTACTCCATGGATTATTACTTTCTGTGGAAGTACCTTCCAAGGGATCTGTGTCCTCAGATTTATCTGCTTCTTTTTCCTCTGTAACAACATCTTTGGTATTTTTAAGTTTCTTAGATAATTTTTTCATCTTTTTAGGATTATTT